TGCCTCTCTCGTTGTCTGCCCCTCTCACTCTTTCTCTCTGAGTGTGTGTGTGTGTGTGTGTGTGTGTGTGTGTGTGTGTGTGCGCGCGCGTGTGTGTGTGTATGTGTGTACATGTATGTTTGCGTGTGCGCGCGTGTGCACGTGCGGGTGTGCATTTGAAGAAACATGCTTAAACCCAACGGACATACAGGTGCTCGTTCTCAAACACAGACCAAAGTCCTCTTTTTCACTTGGACTAACATGTGTAATACTAATACGGACGCACAATCAACAAAAATATAATTCAGATCCCCCCCTCCCCCCCACACGCACACACAGTCACACACACCCACACCCATCCTTCCTTTTCTCCCACACAGCTCTTATGGCACTACTCTCCTCCACCTTTCTTCAGCTTTCCGCGGTCAATCACCACCTTCCACTTATTACAGCGTTACTCTTACTTCAGTTGTTAGGAAATTCGCCCCAAAGCCCCTCCCCCCTTTCCCCCTGGCCTGACCCCCTACCTTGACCCATGCACGCAGAACAACAGTGGGCCTCATACCAACATCTGGCAACCGTAATCACAAGCGTAAATCAGCATCTCTGAGCCACAAAGTTATCTCAGTTTTATAACCGTGCATTCTGCGCTGAGAACTAAAAGTACTGGTACTGGTTGCATTGCAGTGAACGCTTAGGCGTATGGAGATCTACTTAATAGTGTTGATGAGTTTAGCAAAAGTGTAGCATTTCTTGGCTTTGGGGAAAACAAAAGTGCTCTTTTTTCCACATAAGTAGATGCTGTATATCTCAAGAAACTGCTCTGAAGGTAGATCCTGTTCTTTATGAGTCTACACTGTTAGGGACAAAACGTTTCTTGTTCCGGTCTGTGAAATGTTCGTGGGATACTGAAAGTCGGTCGCAGTGAGAGCTTGATACTTCATGGTGACTTCAGAGATTACTATTTTGGTCTGTAGCTGAAAAGTGCACGTAAGTAGACAAAGCTGGAAAGGATTTTCCAAATCAATTTTTCTTTCGACAATAAGGATTGGACTGTATAATAAAGTAAGAACAGCGGGTTTTATTTTCGCTTTGGCGTTTTGTAGAGAGCTTGAAATTGAATTAGATATAGGCACATAGAGATACATTATCAATGTTTGCTGTGTAAAAGTTAGAAGACATAGATATGGTTCTCATTAGACTTCCTTGGCCAGATATACAGCATTCGTTTCCGTGGCGTAGCGGTTAGGCACTTCACCATCGCACACACACAATGTGAGTTCCATTCCTATATCATGAGGGTTGTTTTTTCTTTAAAAAATCGAGTATTTCCATCTTTGTGCTGGGACACTTCATCGCTCTGAGTCCGGGTTTGCCCTGACGCCGGGATGGAAGCAGCCCGCCTCTTTTATATCTATAGTGTATCCATGGGAAAGTAAAACATCTGTAACCATAATTTATTACGAACTCAGCTGAGGGCAAAGACTCAGAAGACATAATTCATTTCAGGGATTTAGCAATTTTTAAAAATCTGCACTTTGCGTGTGAAAGACATGAGTTGCTTTTTAATATGGGTGTTTTTCCGCCCCCATCGACATACTTTAGACCATTAGGACAAACTCGTGCAAAGAGGGATCTAACGACCTAGCAACAGAAAACTCGAGATACTCGATCATTGTTTTGATTATCGATGTGGGAAGATATTGCAATTTGTAACTCCACCTATGTGCTGGGATCCTGTGTCCCGGGTTGGTCGTGATATACAGGATGGAACCATCCAGCCTGCTAAATTATCTGCATAGTGTCAATGGGGGGAAAAAGCATATGCAAAAACCCAGCCCTTCCTGTATAGTGTAAAGATTAAAGATAGGCCTACTAGTGATCAATCAGAAATAAGACCAAAACCACGGCTCATCGCGCAGAGCAATGGGCATTATTTAGTGGCGTCCAAAATAAACTTGAAAATGTAATCACTAAATCATTGTGTTAAAGTCTCGCACTTCCCACTCATGCAGCATAACAATTTAACGCTAAATACATTCTGCACCATCTGGCACATTAATAATTCATATATTTATGTTAAGAGGTGCCCGAGATATGGTCACTCAAAATTGATCAAAGATTAAGAAATCAGTCTTAGCAAAATTGTGCGAAATCAAAGAAACGTAAATTGTCTTCGCGCGTGTATTGAGGAGCATCAATATTGATAGAATGGACATGACATTACATATCCAATGAATGGAGAATTTTGTATTGCAATAAACAACATTCTTTATATATATATATATATTTATTTATTTTTTTAAAAATTAAAAAAATAAATAATTTTTTTTTAAATTTTTTTTTTTTTGGCACCATAATTTCAAACAAAACGGAAAACAGAGCAATTACAAAAACCACGAAAAACTTGTATTTAACATTTTATTATGCCATTTAGTTTTTTGCTTAGTTTTGTGTAGAGCACGAACCCTTTTGGGAATCGAATCTGTTAAATTTTGAACATAATTATCTGTCATTTAACCCCAAATGTTACAGAGAGTTACAAACAAAGAGTCTTAATATTGGAACAACGTCTCTTTTCTTCAGCTGCTGTTTCATGGTACTTCACTGTTCTCATACCTGTAGGATTCATATTGGGGCTATTTACTAGTTTAGTTCATTCTACCCCCAGACCACCCAAAACCATGGCAGTTTCGTGGCCTCTGCTCATTTTATTATGCCATTTAGTTTTTTGCTTAGTTTTGTGTAGAGCACGAACCCTTTTGGGAATCGAATCTGTTAAATTTTGAACATAATTATCTGTCATTTAACCCCAAATGTTACAGAGAGTTACAAACAAAGAGTCTTAATATTGGAACAACGTCTCTTTTCTTCAGCTGCTGTTTCATGGTACTTCACTGTTCTCATACCTGTAGGATTCATATTGGGGCTATTTACTAGTTTAGTTCATTCTACCCCCAGACCACCCAAAACCATGGCAGTTTCGTGGCCTCTGTTCCTCTCTAACAGTTGATATTTCCAAAACCTATGACCGCCCAAGGGCAAAAAAGGTTTCGTGCTCGGCTCGAAACCATTACTTCCTAAACAAAAACGAAATTTATAGCAATGAACACGTGTTATGTTAAGTTCAGGTTTTGTGTGGTAATTATAACTGCTCTGTTCTCCAATCTCTATGAAAATATCATCAGAAGATACTGTTCATTGCGGAGACAATAATAGTCTCTTTAAATTTTACTTTTCTATAAACATGCATTACACAAATGTTGAAGCACTTCAATATACGCGCGAACACACTTTTGCGTTTCTCTGATTTCACACACTTTTGCTAAGCCTATTTTTTAAAGGTCAAATTTGAGTGGCCATATCTCGGGCGTCTCTTAACATAGATGAAATATTAATGTGTCAGATGAAGCAGAATTTATTCTACTTTAAATTGGTATGCCGAATGAGAGGGTAGTGCAAGACTATAACACGATGATTGAGCTATTACATTTTCAAGTTTCTTTTCGACGCCAAGACATCCAATACCTCGTTGTGAGATCAATATAGCTTTCTCGTTTATTACTGTTGTCACAGTGTGTGATATAATTATGTGGAAACAAACCGCCTTTGTATGCCAGTGCTTGTCAATCTTTTCTTTAACTAGCCCCCAGTTTTTGGGCGACATTACTCGTGCTCAAAGGCAGGCTTTGTATGCAAAACTTACCAAAATTGCCTCGAAGTTAAATATCTTCCTTCCTAATCACCTTTTATTAATCGTGACATTTCTCATTTTGGAAATACCCTTTGAAACAAGGGCTTGCTAATGTAAGGACCGTTATGCTCATTCGGCAGACTCATCAACAAAAGATTGTATCACTTGCCCAGTTGGTGGAACATAATACCTAAAAGATGACTAGAATGAAGATGGCGGCATAGTTCAATTTATGATTTCATGTAAATAAAAGTAAGCTTGACCTTAGATTTCACAAAATTGGTAGCAGACTATTATTTTAAACAATGCACCTGCAGTTTATTGATTTTAACCGTTCTTTTCAGATCAATCATGTTTAATTTTTTAAAATTTGTACCCACCGTTTCTCGGATTACAGAGTTTCTAATTTTGTCTCGCCTGGTTTTGTTTTACTGCTTTTCTAAGGCGTCGCATTTCACAGGTTGTAATTCTGTGCTCTAATGTCTTGTTCGTAGTCCATGTTTGGCATTGATAGGTGAGTGTTGGGATGAATATGGTGTTGATCATTTTTAGTTTTGTTGTCATGGGGATGTCAGGATGTTTCTGTAGTATAGTAAGCTGGTAACTAGCATTATTGGCCTTTTGTGCTCGTGTTTCAATTTCTCTGTTCAGTCGCCCATCCTCTGTGAATATACTTCCGAGGTACTTAGTTTCTTGGACCTTTCTGAGACTGTTGTTGTTGATGTGTATCCTGAGTGGTTCTGGCTTTCTGCTTACTTTCATTATCTCTGTTTTGTTGATGTTGATCTTCAAGTCGTAGTTGTTACATTCTTCGTTTAATCTGGTGGTGTGGTGTTGGCGACTTTGTTCATCTTTGTGTGCCAGGCTTTGATAATCAGCGAAGAGTAATTCATTTAGGGCGTCTGCTTCTATGTTGGCCTCTTTTGTAATTCTATCCATATATAAGATAAATAGTAGTGGTGATAAGACACAACCTTGTCTTACTCCGGATGTTATCTCGAACCATTCTGTGAGTTCCTCTGACGTTCTTATTGTAGTAATGCTGTTCTCGTAAATGGCACGGATGTTATCTAGAAGTTGGCCTCTTACAGTGTAGTTTTCGAGTTCTTTCTACGAACTGGTCGATAAATACTATATTTAGTTCCCTGTTGCTTTCTATTACCCTTTCGCACATTTGTCGTACGGCAAATATTGCGTCGGTGCATCCTCTTCCCTTTCTAAATCTCATTTGGGCCTCACTCAGAAATGGTTCAACTGTGTGTCTTGTTCGCCATTCCAATATATATTAAAAAAATTAATTCATGTAGAATATTTTTTCTTACGGTTTTTTTTTCGCTTTTTTCCAGTTCAAGTATATTTATATTTGAGGTTCCATATTTTGTGGTTTTTGAAATTCCTAGGTGCTGCATTTGCTGAGATTTCAGTGTTTACATTTTGTGCTTGCTATTCTCATAAAAATTTGGACTTCGTTTGGTACATGGTGTCTTTTAAAAATTTTGACTTCCTGGCGGTCAATTTGGATTTGTTATGAGTATATTATTATCTTTTCTGAAAAACAACCACTCTGTAATAATATCATCATCATTTAGAATGGAGATAATCGGCGTCGTTATCAATACAAGAATGGCACCCAGTAACCAAAACCTTTAGAGAACCTTTTTGGTAATTTTTTTTCTAGAATCCAGTCCCATGAAACCCTTTTTAAAAAGCCCATGTGTCTCTAACTACACTCCCCCCACCCCTTTCTAATTAAAAATACTTATCCACGTTATCGTGCTTTCTTTTCCAAGTTGATTTACAGAAGGCCAGATCTAGAATTCCTTGGCCTTAAGCAAACTCAGCTAGTCAGCCTTGGCTGTAGATCCTTGACAAAAAGGTGCAATGGGGCCCTAGTTTTCGGCCAGGATGAAATAAACAACCCCAGCGGTCTGCAAATATAAGCTTGTATTTTATGCATGAGTGTGTTTGTGTTTGTATGTATGTATGTATGTATGTATGTATGTATGTATGTATGTATGTATGTATGTATATGTGTGTGTGTGTTTAAGTGTGTGTGTTTGCGTATATGTAAGAGCGTGTTTAATTGTGTGTGTATGTTTGTGTGTATTATGTGTGTTTCATGTGTGCGTGTGTGCTTGTTTGTTTGTTTGTTTGTTTGTTTGTGTGTGTGTGTGTGTGTGTGTGTGTGTGTGTGTGTGTGTGTGTGTGTGCGATGTGTGTGTGTGTGTGTGTTTGAATGTGACACTATAGCTTAAAGAGATAATTTTACAGTTATAGTCTATGTAAATTAGGTTCA